GCCGCGGCCCCGCGTCCCCGCCTGCTACTGCTAGAGAGCGTTTCCGGGTTGCTGCAGCCGCGAACAGGCTCCACCGTTGCTCCCGTGCATCCACCAGCCCGCTCCGCCCCACATTTGCCGGGGCTCATGTGCCTATTGCGGCTGCATGGGACGGTGGGCGGGGCCCAGGTGAGTCCGTGGCCCTCGTGCCTATGGCCCTGTGGGGTGGTTGGCAGCTGTGTCAGGGTTACCGTACACTGCAGGTGCAGTAGGGAGGTTGAGGGGAGGAGAACTGAGGGTAGGAAGAGGATCTAGGTATCTGTTGGACGAGATTTATCCGTGTGTCTTTCCTAGGGGGAAAAATGGGCCTTATTTCTATCGGAAGGCCCACAGGAATGGATTGCGTTCCAGGCCTGGTCACTCACTACTCACTAGTTGTACGGTCTTCGGCATCCTTTTCCTCTGGCAGTGTTTGTTTTTTTGGGGGTGGGTGTGTGTGTGGCTGTTTTCTACTGAGTATTATGGAGGCATTCATCAGATAACAAAATCTTAACTGAGGCCAAATACCGTACAGGATGTTCCATTAACAGGCGTGATAACGATGAACAAAATACTATGAAACCCCATGAAAATTAAATAGCAGAGATTCTGGAGAATTGCAGAGACTTTACAGAGGAACTGGAGTTTGGGACCAGCAGATAGCGTAAAGGTTACGTTGTTGGACTCCCACAATGTTGACGGTGGTTCAAGTCCCCACCCCGTGCGCACGTGCATTGATTCAGATAAGAATTTTGGAATATGATGTTAAAGAAATTAGTATAGCCGTTGGAATAATGATTTTTTTAGCATTGTAGGAGGTTGAGACTTTGGATGTAGACCAGGCCATAGGAGTTTGAGACTGTAACTAGTAAGGCCAGCCTACAGCTGCTTTGCAGGCGGCAAAGACTAAAAGGATAATAGGTAGTGCTGCAGTTAGAATAAGGTAATTATTTAGGACAATAGGAGCTGACAAAATAATTAGTGATAATTATTTTAAGTCAATAGAGAGGATATCAGATGTGATTGAAAATGTAGTAATCTGGGACCAGCAGTTGGTGTAATGGCTATATCACTGGACTCCCATATAGTGGACTGCAGTTCGAGTTCTGGACCCGGTGGCTTAACTCATGCTGGGCGCATGTGTGTGTGTGCCCAAGATCCCGAGAGGAGAACGGAGAAGGGATTGTGGTGTGGCCATCCCCCACCCCGTGATTTCTCGCTTTCTGTCTCTGTCTCTCTCTGTCTTTATGGCTAGTGCACGCATCCTATAGCAAAAAAACTCTCCAAAAAAAAGAGAAAAGAAAATGTAGTAATCCTAATAAGGATGTGGCAAAGGCCAATACCATATTGATATCAACTAAAGGCATGTTAGTGGTTATGGTATAATCATAGTCTAATGAGTCGAAATAATTTGTTAAATCATTGTGCTAAACTAATCACTATGTTCAACTCACTCTAAGCCCTTTTGAGTTCTTTCATATGCTAGGCCGAGGATGAGAATGGAGATTAAGACTAATGCTCTTGGGATTTTGGGCATGCACACACACACACCCACACCCAGCATGCATTTGAAGTCACTGGATCTGGGACTGGAACCAACAGTCGGCCATGTGGGAGTCCAGCACCTTAACCATGACACCACCTGCTGGCCCCAATCCTCTAGCAATTTAAAGGGAAAAAACTCAGCTTCTGCCCCATTTATTTATTTCCCTTTATGTCAGAACTACTCAAAAGGGTTGTCTGTACTTGCCTCTCATTTTTTATTTATTTATTGTTTTTAGGTTTTTGCCACAGGGTGTGTGCGCTTGCTGGAGAGAGACAGTGAGAGGGAAAGTGAGAAATCACCCCCCAGGGGATGGCCACGTTGTAGTCCCTCTCCTTTATTCTCCTGGGATTTTGGGCATGCACGCACATGCTCCTGGAAGATTCTCAAGCCATTGGGTCTGGGATTCGAACTGCAGTTGACCATTTGGGAGCCCAGTGCCTCAACCACTCTGCTACCCACTGATCCCCCACTTTTAATTTAAAAAATTAGTGAATTTAACTTTTTATTATTAATTTTTAATTTGCCCAAAAAGAGACACAGAGAGGAGGGGAAAGCGAGAAAGTAAGCCACCAGGTTGAGGACTTGAACCATAGTCAGCCATGGGAGTCCAGTGCTTCATCCTCCTGAACCCCCCCTGCCCCCCCAGTTTTTTTCCAAGAGATTTTTGCTATAAAGCATGTGCTCTTACTGGAGAGGTAGAGACAGAGAGGAAATGAGAAATCACCCCCTAGCAGGGAGGCCACGCCACAATCTTTATTCCATTCTCTTGAGATTTTAGGCATGCATACATGTTCACCTGGTATGATTTTTCAAGTTACTGGGTCCAAGACTTGAACTGTGGTTGGTTATGTGAGAGGTACCTTAACCACTATGCTACCTGCTGGCCCCTCATTTTAAATTTTTTAAAAAATAATTATTTTACTTATTTATTTATTTATTTGTTATGTTTTTAATTTGACCAGAGAAAGTTACAGAGAGAAAGAGAGGGGAAATGAGAAAGCAAGCCACCAGGTCCGGGACTCGAACTGTGGTTAAACGTGTGAGAGTGTCTAGTACCTTAATCACCTGCTGGCCTCCCCCAATTTTAATTTTTAGCAATACTTTGGAATAAATTAAAATTACAGAAAACTTGAAAGAATAATTTAAAAAAATTGTTTACCTAGATTCTCCAAACTCAACATAATTATTGATAATACTTACTTATTCTCAGTTTTTCCTGTGTCCATTTAGGAGTAAGTTGCAGATGTGATATCCTTTTATCTCAATATATTTCATTGTGTATTTCCTTAAAAATAGCATGTTCTCTCTTTTTCTTTGATTGCCAGAAAGAGAGAGGTAGAGACAAGAGAGAAAAATTACCCCCTAATGATGTGTGATCATTCTGCAATCTATTTCCTTCTATTTCTCCACTCTGTCAGGATTTGGCAAACATGCCCGTGGGGTTGGGATTTGAACTGTGGTTGGCTATGTGGAATCTGGTTCCTGATGTATTATGTTTAACCACTGTGCTATGTGGCTGGCCAAAATAAGGATGTTCTTTAACATAGCCACTTTCCAGCACCAAAATTAGAAATTAACATTGATATGATAAATTATCTAATTTATAGATCATGTAAGTTTTTTTTATGTTGTCTTGAAAATATCCTTTATAGTGGGACCAGCAGTTGTTGCAATGGCTATGTCGCTGGACTCCTATGTTGACCGTGGTTCAAGTCCTGGACCTGGTGGCTTAAACTCACGCCAGACGCGTGTGCATACATGCCCAAGATCCTGAGAGGAGGATAGAGGAGGAGGGACTCTGACCTGCCCATCCTCCTGGGGGGTGATTTCTTGCTTTCTGTCTTTCTGTCTGTCTGTCTTTCTGGTGAGCGCACGTGTCCTATAGCAAAAAACCTCCTCTCCCCCTAAAAAAAGAAAGAATCCTTTAGAGCAAAAGAAAACTTATTGTTAAGGGCTCAATGCAAGATCTTATTAATACATTGCACTTAGTTGTTATGTCTCTTTAGTTTTTAATGGAAGATAGTTTTTTTTTTTTCAAAGAGATTTTTTGTGGGACCAGCAGGTGGCATGGTGGTTGAGTCGCTGGATTCCCACATGGCCAACCATGGTTCAAGTCCTGGACCTGGTGGTTTGCTTTCTCACTTTCTGTCTGTCTCTCTCTGGTCAGAATTGAAGAACAATGATAATAAATAAAATTACAAATAAATAAATCTCTAAGAAAAAAAGAGAGATTTTTGATATAGAGTACATGTGCTCACAAGAGAGATAGACAGAAAATGAGAAATCACTCCCCAGGGGGCTGGCCAGGCTACAGTACCTTCTTCTCCATTATTCTCTCGGGATTTTGGGCACACATGTACACGCATCTGGCATGAATTTTAAGCTGCTGGGTGCAGGACTCGAACCATGGTCAACTACATAGGAGTTCCGTGACGTAACCATTACGCCATCTGCTGTTCCCTCTAAGAGTACCTTAATCTTGGTTTTATGATTTTGACATTTTGAAAGAGTACAGGATAGTTATTTTGTAGGATGCCCCTCAATTTGTTTTTTATGTCCTTTCCTCAATGTTGGATTCAAGGCTGGCCGCCCTATAGGCTAGTGATTAAGGGAACCAGATCCCACATGGCTGATTGTGGCTCACATCCTGTACCTGGGGGCTTGAAAAATGCACTGGGTATGCATGTGTGCATGCCCAGAATCCTGGCAGGAGAAATGGAGGAGAAGGGATTGTGGTATGACCACACCTCATTGTGGAAGTTGGGGAAAGGTGCCCTCTCTTTGTCTCTGTTTCTCTCTGACCAGAGAATATGCCCCCTGGCAATTAAGGGGACAAAAAGAGATATGATTGGATTCAGGTTGGGTATTTGCTTCAGGAATACTTTAGAAATGATGTTGCGTCATTCTTGGTGCATCGTATCAGGAGGCACATCGTCTGTCTGTCCCATTACTAGTGCTGTTAACTTTGATCACTAGCTTAAGGTGGTATCTGTCAGATTTCTTGCGCTATGAAGTTAGGAGTTTTTCATTTATAATTAGTGTCTTGTGGGGAGATAATATCTTACTAACCTTTTATCTACTTGTTCAGCATCTGCTATGTTTTGAATATGCCCCCCAGCCCCCAAACTCATGTGTTCAGCCATTTTAATGGGATGAAGAGGGTGAAAATTTCATCTGATTATTACTTTGGGAAGAGATTAGTAATTGGGTGGTTAGAGTGGGGCCTCCATGATTGAGTTTTTGTTTTTTATTCTCTTTAGAGATTTTTGCTATAGGGCACATGCGCTCACCAGAGTGACTGAGAGTGATAGAAACCGAGAAATCACCCCCAGGGGCAATGGACATGCTGCAGTCCCTTCTCCATTCTCTTCTCAGGATCTTGGACACACTCACACATGCCTGGCTTGAGTTTTTCAGCTGCTGGGTCTGGGACTCAAACCATGCTCGACTATGTGGGAGTTTAGTGACGTAACCATTACACCGTTTGCTGGACCCCATGCCTTTTTTTTTTTTTTTTTTAAAGAATTATTTTATTTTGGGACCAGCAGGTGGCATGGTGGATCACTACACACCAACCCCTTCTCCATTCTTTTGGGATTTGGGGCATGCACACACATGCACCCAGTTTGTTTTTCAAGCCGCAGGGTCTGGGACTCAAACCACGTAGTCAACTATGTGGGATCCAATCACCATACCACTGTCTGGTCCCTCTTTTTTGGGGGGCTGGTCCCTCTTGATTGTCCCCTAACCACATAGTCTTCTCCCAGTCTCTCCAGTAAGGACCTGTTCCTCCTTACCCCTCTGACCTCTAAAGGTTTAAGTGCCCAAGAGCCTTGTCCTTGAACTGCTTCTCTTTGTTTACACTGATCTGGTGTCATGGCTGATAGCTCCCAAATTCACATCTCTAACCAGTGTTTCTCTTAACTCCAGACTTCTCTACCTAGTACCTGTTTGGCAACTCTGTTTTGATTAGATAGACATCTGATGTGGATTTAACACATCTGAAACTAGACTCTGGATTCTCATCCCCCAGACCTGCTCCTCTCACATTCGTCTCCTTCTCAGTAAGTGGCAGCTCTGACGAGCTAGTGGCTGAGCGAAAGACCTTGGGACTGTCTTCAACTGTTTATCTTCTACCCATATCCAGCAAGTCCCGTAACTCTAGCCTCAGACTATATCTGGATTTTGACTGCTTCATAGCCCAACTGCTATCATGTTCTGTAAGCTGCATCTTACTTTGTCTGGACTATTACAGCTGTTACGAGAGCCTCTTCATCTGTCCTCTTTTGCCTTAAACAGGCAACTCAAGTGCAGTTGCTTCGCAGTGCCAGCTCCTTAAGCTCCATGCCATTTGTTGGCCCTAGGTTTTTTTTTTTTTTTTTAAAGAATTATTTAACTTTATTATTATTATCATTATTATTTTCCAGTTTGATCAGAGAGAGAGAGAGGGAACCAGCAGTTAGCGTAATGGCTATGTCACTGGACTCCCACGTAGTCGACCGCGGTTCGTGTCCCGGACCCGGTGGCTTAAAACCCACGCTGGGCGTGTGTGCGTGCGTGCCCAAGATCCCGAGAGGAGAATGGAGGAGAAGGGATTGCGGCGTGGTCATCCCCTCTGGGGGGTGATTTCTCGCATTCTGTCTCTCTGTCTCTCTCTATCTGTCTGGCAAGCGCACGCGCCCTATAGTGAAAAACCTCTCAAAAAAAAAAAAAAAAGAGAGAGACAGAGAGATAGAGAGGAAGTGAGAAAGCAAGCCACCAGGTCCGAGACTTGAACCGTGGTTGGCCATGTGGGAGTCCAGCGTCCCTATCTACCATGCCACCTGCCGGCCCCGGCCCTAGAGTTTTATTTATTTATTCGAGAGGGATTTTTGCTATAGAGTGTGTGTGCTTGTCAGAAATACAGAAAGACTGAGAGACAGAAAATGAGAAACTACGCCCCCGGGGGGATGGCCACACCACAATTCCCTTCTCCATTTTCTTCTCAGGATTTTGGGCACATGCACATGAGCCCGGCATGAGGTTTAAGCCTCCAGGTCCGGAGCTTGAACCATGGTTGACTATGTGGGAATTCAGTGATATAACCATTATGCCATCTCCTGGACGCCTTCAACAGCTTTATTGAGATATAATTCACATAACATGCAATTAGTTCATTTGAAGTGTACAATTCAATGATTGTTCGTTTTATTGGCAGAGCTGTGCAACCATCGCTGTTGGTTTTAGAACTTTTTTGTCACGTCATAAAAGAACTCTGTGCCCATGGCTAGTCTCTCCCCGTTGCCCAAAACCCCTCCCTGGCTTCTGTTGGCCCTAGGCTACCACGTAGGCAAAGCATAGATTTGCCCGTTTTGGTTATTTCACACAGAGCAGTCATCCTTTATCTGTAGTTTTGCTTTCTGTGGTTTTGGTTGTCAACAGTTAACCATGGTCTGAAAATATTAAGTGGAAAATTCCAGAAACAAACAATTTATAGGATTGAAGTCACCCAGTGTTCTGAGTGATGAAATCTTGCACCACCCTGCCCTGTTCCTCCTGGGATGTGAGTTGGCCCTCCCTGTAGTGTATGCACACTGTGGTGCAGCCCTCCTGTTAGTTACTTAGTAGCCACCTGGGTCAGCAGATTGAAAACAATGCACTTGGTTCTCCATATCTCTGGGTTCAGCCAAATGCAGATTAAAAATTTTTTTGGTGGGGAACCCAGTAAAAAATAATACAATTTAAAAAATATAGATAAGAATAGTGCAGTATAACAATGACAGAACACAAGCACATGTGTGTGAGAGTAAAATTAAGGGGGACCCCCCTCCACAGAATCTGCTCACACAGCAGTCCTTTTCCTCCAGCCTGTTGGATCCTGGACACTCTGGGCACTTGGGTGCATGCCTTGTGTTTTTTCAGGCTGATTGGGCTGGGGATTTGAACCACTGGCACAGTGTGGGTCTGGCTTCTCTTGAGCAGCACATTACTGTGCCGACCCACTCTGCCAAATTTTTTTTTTTTTTTTTTAAGGTTTTTGTCATAGGACCTGCATGCTTGCTAGAGAGAGACCTAGAGGGAACGTGAGAAATCACCCTCCAGGGAGTATGGTCACGCCGCAGTCTCTTCTCTTGGGATCTTGGGCATGTATGCATACATGCCAGTTATGATTCTCAAGCTGTCAAGTCTGGGACTCGAACTGTGGTTGGCTATGTAGAATCCAGCACCTTAACCACCACACCACCTGCTGACCTCCCACTCTTGCCATTTTACACAAGGAACTGAAAGATCTGTGGATTTTGGTATCTGGAGCTCCAGGAACCAGTCCCCCACAGATACTGAGGGATGCCTGTCTGTACAGTTCAGCACTATTTATGGTTTCAGGCATCCATTAGAGGTTTAGGAACGCTTACCCTGTGGTAGAGGGGACTGCTGTAACTGAACCAGACAATGTGTGGCCCTTTGGGTTAGGCTTCTTTCAGTTAGAGTTTTCAAGGTTCCTTCATGTACCAGAACTTCATTTATTTATTTATTTATTTTGAGAATTAATTAACTTTATTTATTTATTTACTTATTTAATTTGACCAGAGAGGGACCGAGCAAGAGAGCGAGAGAGGGAAAGTGAGAAAGCAAGTAGCCAGGTCTTGGACTCAAACCACGGTCGGCCATGTGGGAATCCAGCACCCTTAACCACCACACCACTTGCCAGTCCCACACGCACACAAATTTCACAAATAATGACCATTTTTAGAAAAAGTTACATTTATCCCTGGACATATTTGTAACTTCCTTTTAGAATAAATTCAAGAAAGGACTGGACTTTCAGATTTCAAGCTGGTCTGCCTGTAGTGAGTCTTTCAGCCCCGGCTACCCTAAGCAGGTGCCGTGGACTCAGCTTTGGGGGAGAAGCATTGAGACAGCTATGGCAAGAAGCTGTGACAGTTATGGCACAAGTGGTATCTGATATAGTCTATTTAACATTAATGGGAATAAAAGCATACTGCTTAGAAATTATTATCCCTAGATCTGAAGTCAACAAAAGCCTTTTTTTCTTATATAAAAATATACACTTTTTCAGAGGAGGGGAAACAGCTTGAAAACACATTCCCATCAGTCGTTCTTTTCATACACTTCAGACTTATCCTTAATGCCTTTCTCCTCCTGGATATCAGAAAGAACACCTGGGTATTCTGGGAGAAGTTTATATTTCTCCAAATCAATTTCTGGAAAAAAGGTATCACTTTCAAAATCCTGCATGATCCTTGTCACGAACAGTGTAAGATGGCCTGGCTGGTTCATGGCTTTCTTATAAACAGAACAACCTCCCACTATCCAAACCATGTCCACTTGATTAACTAATTCTGGTTGCTCAATAAGTTTTAGGGCATCATCCAGACTCTTGGCAAGAAAGTGAGCTCCTCGTGGAGGTTCCTTGAGTTCTCTACTGAAAACAAAATTAATTCTGTCTTTTAAAGGCCGATTCTTTTCAGGAATGGAAAACCAGGTCTTCCTACCCATAATCACGATATTTTGTTTACCTTCTACTGAAGAAGTTATGGTCATTCTCTGGAAATACTTAAATTCATTCCTGAGCAGAGGCCAGGGCAAGTCCCCGTTCTTGCCGATGCCCATGTTCTGGGACACAGCGACGATGCAGTCTAGCGGACGAACCGTGACAGCAGCGGGAAGCAGCTCCGAGCTCGCTCTCCAACTTTATTTATTTTTATGGCTGAGTAATGATCACTTGTATGGATATGTGGAGAGTTGACCCTTGAATAATATGGGCATGTCCCCTCCCTGCAGTTGACAATCCAGGTATAACTTAAAAAATTTATTTTTTCTTTTAGGGTTTTGCTCTAGAATGTGTGTATTCACTGGAGAGAGTCACAAAGAGATGGAGGAAAGAGGGGAAATGAGAAATCACCCCGAAAGGGGGGTTGGCCATGCTCCTGTCCCTTCTCCATTCTCTTCTTGGGATCTTGGGCACACATGCACATGTACTTGGTGTGTTTTATTTCAGGTCTCTAGGTTTCGGACTTAAGCATGGAGTCAGCTAGTGGGATCCAGCACCTTAACCACCATGCTACTATTGGCCCTAAAAATTAATTAAAAAAATTATTTTTATATTGCCCGATAGTACATGGACTTCCCAGAGAGAGACAAAGAAAAAGGAAAGAAGTACCCCTCAGTGGGATATGGTCACGCCTCAGTGTCTTCTCCATTTCCCCATCGTATTGGGGTTTTTGGGCATGTATGCATATGCCTCAGGCATGGTTTACAAGCCACTGAGGCTGGGATATGAACCATGCAGTTTGACATGTGGGATCTGGCTTCTTTAACCACTAGGTCTTGGGACAGGTTGTCCAGGTGTAACTTTTGACTACTAGTAACCTATTCCAGAGAGCTCAGAGTGGAGCAGGTGTGCCCACCGTAGCCCCAAGTGTTCACCCTTCCCCCACCACGTTTTCCACTGCAGTGGCCACAGTCCCACCCATAGTGCAAGACAGCAGTCACTCTCTCTTCTCTCCAAAGATCCAGTTCAAGGTCCTGCTGTTGGAGTTGTTCCTTGACCCCAAGGTGGCAGAGCAGATTCAGAGGCACCACCCCACCCCTGCCAGTGACCAGTCATTCCCAGAGATAGATGAAGATCTGATTCCCAGACCCCTTCTCAAGTCTATTTGTCAGTGTTTCCAGGGCAACAGAAGATGACAAGGACCACAACCAGAATGAAATAGCTCCACATGATAGTTGAACATCACCTGGAGAAATGGTAGCAAGGGGAGAAGCCTAAGGGAGCTGCCAGGAGCTCAGGGAACCACCCACGTGGGCTCACAGGCACAGCAGTGGAGTCAAGGCTGTGCATCTCTGGGGCAGCTCAGGTGCCTGCAGGGTCCATCCCTAAAACTCAGGAGAGGGCAGTGACAACTCAGCACAGAGGAACCCCTTAACTCATGTACTGCCATTGAATTCCCAGGGAGACAGCTCAGTCAGAAGACAAGCTTCCTGGAGTCAAGGCTATAGTTTGAGAATGTGTGGGTACTGGGCTTGTTTCTTACTTGTTTTTCACTTTTGGGGAAAACTTCTCCCTTTTTAAAAAAGAATTATATCATTTATTATTTTTAAATAATTCATTTTATTTATTATTATTATTATCTGTGACCAGAGAGAGTGTGAGAAATGTGAGAAAGCAAGCCACCAGGTCTGGGACTCTAACTGCAGTCAGCCACGTGGGAGTCCAGTGCCCCACAAGGTCCCTAATTTCATTTATTATTATTATTATTACCAATTTTTAATTTGACCAGAGAGAAGGAATGTGAGAAAGTAAGCTGCCAGGTCCAGGACTCAAACCATGGTTGGCCATGTGGGAATCCAGCACTTTAACCACCACACTACCTGCCAGCCTCGAAAATCTCTTGTTCTTAAAGAGTAATAAATTTGGGCCTGCAGGTGGTATGGCAGTTAAGGTAGCTGGATCCCAGATAGCTGACTGTGCAGTTCGAGTCCTGGACCCAGTGGCTTGGAAAATCCCCAGGTGTATATACATGTGTCTCCAATCTTTTTTTTTTTTTTTTTTGAGAGTTTTTTATTTATTTATTTTTTTTTGCTATAGAGCGCGTGTGCTCGCCAGACAGAGAGAGACAGAAAGCAAGAAATCACCCCCCAGGGCGTGTGGGGGCTGGCCATGCCGCCATCCCTTCTCCTCCGTTCTCTCGGGATCTTGGGCACGCATGCACATGCGCCCGGTGTGAATTTTAAGCCACCGGGTCTGGGATGCGAACCCCAGTCGACTACATGTGAGTCCAGCGACATAGCCATTACGCTAATTGCTGGTCCTGTGTCTCCAATCTTAACTGCTCGTCCCGTGTCTCCAATCTTGAGAAGAGACTGAGGGAGAAGGGATTGTGGTGTGGCTATCTCCCCGGGTGATGCTTGCTCACTTTCTCTCTCTGTCTCAGGTGGGTGCATGTGCATATAGGGGAAAAAAGATAAATTTGGTGTTATGCTTAAATAAAGAAAGAGAAATACATGCCTATGAGTGTAATTCCAACCTGTGTTGTTAAGGCATAGAGTGCGTTGTACTTGTTTATCCATTCACCTGTTGATGGACATTTGGATAGTTTCTACTTTTTGATAAGAGTGCTGTTGCCCAGTTGGTGGTGTGGGTTTTAAGTAGCTGGATTCTCACATGACTGACTACTATTTGAGTCCCAGACTCTGTAGTGTGAAAATCATGCTGAGTGTGTGTGCCCAAAGTCCTGAGAGGAAAATGGAAGAGAAGGGATTGTGGCATGGCCATCCCTCCTGGAAGGTGATTTCTCACTTTGCCTTTCCCTCTGTCTCTCTCCCACAAGCACATGCTCCCTATGGCAAAAACAAACACACACAAATATAACAACAACAGAAGAATGCTGCTGTAAACATTCATGTACAAGTGTTTGCGAGAATGTGTGTGTTCATTTCTCCCGGGTGTATACCTAGGGATGGAATGGCTGGGCCATAAGTATAACCTTTTAAAAAACTGCCTGGCTCTACTATTGTACTTTTTTTTTTTTTTTTTTTAAATAGAGATTTTTGCTATTTGGTACACACGCTTATGGGAGGAGTAGAGAAAGAGAGAAGAGGCGAGAAATCGTTCCTCAGGGGGATGGCCACGCTGCAGTCCTTTCTCCTCCATCCTCCTCTTGGGATCTAGGGCACGTGTGCTCATGTGCCCAGCGTGAGTTTTAAGCCATTGGATCCGAGACTCGAACTGCAGTCTACTACATGGGAATCCAGTAACGTAACCATTATGCCATCTGCTGGTCCCTGTTGTACATTTAAAAAATTATTATTATTTTAAATATTTATTTAATTCCATTTGTTATTATTATTTTTTATTTTGACCAGAAAGAGAGAGACCTGGCAGGCCACTGGGTCTGGGACTTGAACCGCAGTTGGTCATGTGGGAATCTAGCACCTTTATCCACCATACCACTTGCTAGCCCCTATTACTATTTATTTTTTTTAATTTGATGAGAGAGCAAACCGCCAGGTCGGGGCCAGGTCAGCTATGTGGGAGTCCTGCACCTCAACCACCATGCCACCTGCCAGCTCCTCTGGTGTACATTTTTACCAGCAGTGTATAAGGTTATCATTTTCCTTTTGGTCCCTGTCTAAATGACTTTTTGTTTTTTAAGCACCAGAGGACACATGTCCTACATTAATTTATTGAATGAATTGAATGAACACTTTTCCTCTGTAAGAGGAGAGACCTTTGTTATTCAGCTCTATATTCCTTAACCTGACCCAGTACATATTAGGTAGATAGGCAGGGTGAGAGTAGGGGGAGAAAGCACCTCCTAATGGGGCATGGTTACACAGCAACCCCTTCTCCATTTCTGTGCCTTCTAGGGATTTGGGGCATGCACACATACATGCTGACAGCATTTTTAAAGCTGCCAGGGCTGGGATTTGAACCGTGGTCAGCCATTGTAGGACCTGGTTCCTTTAACTATTAGGCTATGAGACCAGCTCTGAGTGACCTTTTTATAGAGGACTTTTGTACCCACTCTACTACTTGAAATATGATTTCAATTCCTACGTCAGGTACACCTTTCCTTTCTTACTCTGCTTTATTTTTCCCTGTAGTACTTAGTAGTCTCTGACATACTGTGTTTTTGCTTTAATTGTTCAGTCTCCTTTAAAACTAGAAAACAATCTGTTTAGCAACTCAAACAATTGTTTCATATGAAGTAGAATTTTGGGGGGAGGGGAAGAGATTTTTGCCGTTGGGTGTATTGACTTGCCAGAGAGACAGAGACAGAGAAAGCGAGAAATCACCCCCTGGGAGGATGGCCACATCACAGTCCCTTCTCTTGGGATTTTAGGCAGGCATGCACATGTGAGTTTTAAGCTTCTGTGTTTGAGACTTGAACTGCGATCAACTACGTGGGAGTCCAGCAGTGTAACCATTACACCATCTGCTGGTCCTTGTTTAATTAGGTTTTTTTTTTTTTTAAGAGAGATTTTTGGCTTAGGGTGCATATACTTGCTAGAGAGAGAAACACAGACACAGGGAAAGTGAGAAATTACTCCCAGGGAGATGGTCATGCCACAGTCCCTTCCCCTCCATTCTCTTCCTGGGATCTTGGGCGTGTGCACATGGACCTGGTATGATTTTCAAGTGACTGGGTCGGGGACTCAAACTGCAGTCTGCATGTGGGAGTCCAGTGACATAACCACTACACCACGTGCTGGTCCCATGAAGTAGATGTTAAATACGTAATACATACTTTGATTTTCTACAGGGCACACAGGCTTGTTGGAGCACCCCCCCAGGCGGGTTGATCTTCCATTCTTTCTGGATTTGGGACACTTGCACAGGGCATGACACCAGGTCCGGGACTTGAATAGTGTTCTCAGCCCTGTGGGATTCAGCATTTTAACCATCACGCCGCTGGCTAGCCCAGTATTAAATACATTAATTTATTGAATGAATCGAATGAACACTTTTCCTCTGTAAGAGAAGAGACCTTTATGTTATTCAGCTCTATATTCCTTAACCTGACCCAGTACATATTAGGTATTTCTACTGTCTGTCTACCTATCTATTTTCTGAGAGAGATTTTTGCTATAGGGCACGTGCGCTTGCCAGAGACAGACAGAGACAGAAAGTGAGAAATCACCTCCTGGGGGGGATGGTCATGCTGTAGTCCCTTCTCCTCGGGAGTTTGGGCACACACATACATGTGCCTGTTGTGAATTTTAAGCCACCAGGTCTGGGACTTGGAACTGTGGTCGACTACATGGAAGTCCAGCAATGTAACCAGCCATCTGCTGGTCCCCATATTAGGTATTTCGAAAGAATGAGCAGCGCCCACCATTAGGGAGGTATAGCTGTCGTGAGAGGAGTCTGGGCATTTAGGGGATGCAGGAGGTAACTTATGGGAGGGCTAATGAAGTAGTTCTGCTTGCCTTGGTCTGTGTTGGCATTTTTTATACTCTGAGGAAGCCAGGAACAGGAGTTGGAGGAGCACGGTTGTTTGGGGTGAAGGAAGACGGATAGCAGACGAGCTCAGTGTCCATTCAGCAAGTGTTTGTGTGTGTCTTCTGTGAGCAGGGTGCTGCCCAGTGACCTGGAGGCAAGCAGGCCTGTGGGTGAAGTCTGGCAGAGGGATGAGCTGGGCTGTTCTCTGTTAGCACCAGTTCCCTAGGTGCGGCATTGTGGAAGGAGCCAGGCAAGATGTGACTTGAGGAAAGGTTGAGGGGACAGGCTGCTGTGTGTTATCCGCAGGGAGGAAGGGCAGAGGCTGCAGGCTTCAGAGAGATGGTCTTTTGGCTGCAGAAAAGATGCGGTATCAGAAAGGCTTCATAGGCGCTGGACCAGGGAAGGGCGTGGGGAAATTCCTGAGTGTCTATTAACATCCTGTTCCATTTTTTTCTTCTAGAACCTTTCAGCCGTTGGGGCATTGGTGAGTCTCAGTAATGCACGTCTTGGGTCCATCAAAACTCGGTAAGTCTTTAATCCTGTTTTTCCCTCCAAGAGGATATTCTCTTTAGAACTGGGCTGTGTACATCTGTCTCTCCATTGTCACCTCCCGTGGATTCAGGAGAGTCTCCATTCCTAAGGGTGGAGAGGTTTTTGTCTTTTCTTATGCTCATTTGAGTTGAACCCCACCTTTTCCAGGTCCCAAGTTACCCATTTCCCACCTGCAGTTACCTCTGCTCTCTTCTTTGCTTGCTGTCCGCACCTTACCCCAGGTCCTCTAAGTATTGGGTTGTTGGGAAAGTCTTGACATCTTTTTTTCTATGTTTTTCTGTACAGAATGCTTCATGACTTTTCCAATGATCCAATACTTAAAGGGTTAGAAACCACAGTGGTTCTGGGGGTGAAGTCTTGGTTTGGCCCCGATGGTTTGAAAGAACAGTCGGAAACCAGCACATGGTGAATGGTTACATCACTAGACTCACACAGAGTTGACTGCGGTTCAAATCTCAGACCCAGCAGCTTAAAACTCAAGCTGAGCGCGGGTGTGTGTGTCCAGAATCCCGAGAGGAGGCTAGAGCAGAAGGGATTATGGCATGGCCATTCCCCCTAGGGGGTGATTTCTCCCCTTCTGTCTTTCTGTCTCTCTGGCGAACACATGCACCTTATAGCAAAAGTCTCTTAAAAAAAAAAAAAAAGAAAAGTCAGTAGCTTTCGCTGAAGCCCAGCTTCCACGATCTTGTCATCACTCTCTTCTTTCTTGTGAGGTTTGAGGGCCTGTGCCTGCTGTCCCTGCTGGTAGGGGAGAGCCCCACAGAAATGTTCCAGCAGCACTGCGTCTCTTGGCTTCGGAGCATCCAGCAGGTGTTGCAGGTAAGGATTCGGCTGCAGCCCTGCCTCCCCCACCCCCTCTTAGTCCCCATCCTGGTTGTGCTATGTTCTCTGTAGCTTGGACGTTTAGTTCTGAGGATGGAATGATTAGAAGCAGTTTCCTGATAGTGGAGAGGATAAGCTTCAAATAGAAACATCCTTTTTAGCTTGTTGATATTTTTATCTACTGGCTTATTTTAACTTAACCACCCTTCTCACCCTGTGACCTCTGACAGTTTCACTTCTTCATTAGTTTTTCTAATGAGTGATCTCTCTAAAGTTTCTTTTTCCAGGTATTTTTTCTGTCTACTTTTTTTTCCCCCCACTTTCACATTTGAATTATCCCTCTAACCCACCCACACACTTCTGTGTCCTTTTATGTTACTCAGCAAGCGTTTTCTGAGCACACATGGCAGGCTGTGCGCTAAGGCCTAGGGAGACGTGGTAAGATGTATGTGAACCTGCTTTCCTCGTGCTCCGAGTCCAGGGCAAGGGCTGGGAAGTTGTTCTGTGAAGTAAATGTTTACAGATGGTAAGTGTTTTAGGCCTGAGATCCACATTTGGTTTCTATTGCATATTGTTTGTTTTCCAACCCTCGGAAAATATAAAAACCATTCTTCCTCATGGGCCATGCAGAAGCAGGCATGCACAGACCACATAGTTTGCCGATCCCCATTGTAGTGGGAGACATTGGCTTGAATAACATGGATGAGTGTGCAAGGATGAATTGAGTTTAGTGCTGTGACCGGGGTGGTTTATGTCATGGTGATTGAGGCGGAGGGTTAGGAAGGGCTTTTCTGAACTGATCAGTAGGAGTAAGTTGGGCTGAAGGACATGTTCTAAGTATGCAAAGGCCCTATGAGGAGGTTGGCACCACTTGAAGAACTGCAGGCAAGCTGGTGTGGCTGTTTATGAGGTGTGACTGGTAGGTACATAGGCAGGAAGCAAGCCATGTATGGCCTTGTAGGCCAGTGCTGACGATTTTGGTTTTTATTCTTGGAGCAGTGGGAATTCATCAAGGGTGTTTTTTTGTTTTTTGTTTTTGTTTTTTTGAGAGGTTTTTGCTAGAGGGTGCATGTGCTTTCCAAGAAGATAGAGACAGAAAGCCAGAAATCACCCCCTGGGGGGGATGGCCACGCCGCAATCCCCTCTCCATTCTCCTCGGGATCTTGGGCACGCACACATGTGTCCGGCGTGAGTTTAAGCCACTGGGTCCAGGATGCAAACCACGGTTGACTGCGTAGGAGTCCAGTGATATAGCCATTACACTAACTATTGGTCCCTTTTGTTTGTTTTTGATAAGGGTGTGCCAGAGAGAGAGAATGCATACGTGCATGTGTGCACATACTCTTCCCCTTACCCTTGATAGGGTCTTGTCGTACTGCCATTTCCTTTTCCCATCCCTCTAGCTCTTTGGAATTTTGGTTGCCCACGTGTGTATCCTGGCATGTTTTCAGGATGACCCAGAGATCTGAGCCCACTGTCGATCATGTGACTCCCAGCAGTGCAGTCCAGTATGTTGCAAACTCTGACACCTAGCCTGGGCCCCCATTTTTTTTTGTTTTTAATGACCAGTCTTGCTATGTTGCCTAGGTCAGCCTTGAGTTCCTGCCTCCACCTCCCTGAGTAAGGATTTTAGGCATGCATATGTTAGAGGAAAAAAGATATTATTCCTCCCTCGTGGTCATGCCGCAATCCTTTTCCCTCCAGTGCTCTATCCCACTGGGATCCTAGGTAATGTCTGCCTGCCTGCCTGCCTGGTTGAGGCCAAAGCTTGAGTCTTGCAGACCATGTGGGATCTGGCTTCCTCTGCCTTTTTTTTTGGGGGGGGGAGAGGTTTTTTTTTTTTTTTTTTTTTCTTATAGGGTTTTGTTCTCTGCCAACACACAAGGGGAAGCGAGAAATCACTCCCTTCTCCTCCATTCTTCTCTTGGGATCTTGGGCACGCACGCACACGCGCCCGACGTGAGTTTAAGCCACCGGGTCCAGTACTTGAACCGCGGTCGACTACATGGGAGTCCAGCGACATAGCCATTACGCTAACTGCTGGTCCCAGAAGGAAAGTGATAAAGCAAGCTGCCAGGCCCGGGACTCGAACCGCAGTTGGCCATGTGGGAGTTCAGTGCCCTTAACCACCACACCACCTGCTGGCCCCTGGCTTCCTCTGCTTAATCAGTGCTTAATCACTGCACTGTGGTGTTGGTCCTAAATGTTTCAAGTAGGGATGAGGACGTGATAATGGTAGTAACACGATCGAAATTTTCATTTGAAAATACCATTTTGGCTGCTATGTGGAGAAAGGATTAGAAAGGAGCAGAATGAAAGTTGAAACTATGTAGAAGGCTCCTAAAGTAATCTAGGAGGATGTCCGTGGTAGCTTGAACTAGGGCGGTATCAGTAGAACTGATGAGTAGCAGACAGGTTTGTGGGAGGTTCTGAGGCAGGGTGGACAGGTCCTGGTGATTGAATAGCATCAGAGAGAGGCTGTGTCTAGGATGCCTCCTATATTTCAGAATGCTGGAAGACAGAACCAAGGTCAGAGGGGAGGCAGAGAAAATACCATGTGTGGCCTTGGGTATTTAGTAGAAGCCCTCTTAACTAATCATCCCCCTCATCTGGCACATGCAGAAGTGGCCAGATGTCTCAGTGTAGCTTCACAGGTTCAGTGAGTGGGGGCTTTTCAGCTGACATGTTTTACAAAGGGGAATAATGAAGACTGCAATGTTTGAAGTTGAAAGTTAAAGATGGCAGTTAAATGAGTTCTTGTGGACTGAATTTTAAGGCATGCCGCATTTAACACTCAGGTAGAGGGGGGAGAGCCTACAAAGGAGACCCGACAGTGGTAGGAAGGAGATAACCAGGATTGTGGGTTTGAGGGACTCCAAGGGAAGAGGGCGGAGTCATTTCTATTCACACCCTCACGAGGTGGAACAAAACATGACTGAGAATTGCTTATCAAATTACTCCTCGAGGGCTGTAAGACTGTAGTGAAAGTTTTTGGTGGGGCAGTGGACATTGAAGCTAGACTGACATAGGATGAGAAGTGAGTGGGAAGGGGAATGGAACTAGGTAAAATAGGCCATACTTTCCAGATAATTTGGCTCCAATGATAAGGAAGTTAGGCAATTACTGGGATTTGGCAAATGGAGTATGGGCTCAAGGAAAGAATTCCCAAGGTGAGAGAGACTTGAGCATGTGTAAATGTACATGGGAAGAATGTATTTGAGAGGGACTAGTTAGAGACACAGGAGAAAATGCGAGTTCACGTGTAAGGCTCAAAGAAGGGGGAGGGAGAGTATCAAAAGCACAGCTGGCCAAGATTGGCCTTGGATTGGAGGAGGAGGAGGATGAGTATGAAGATTAGGTTTTTAGTTTGGGAATGGGAAGCAAAGGTTGCTCCATCTTTGGGCTTCTGTTTTCTTTTGAAGTTGTAGGTATGGTCATCAGAGGGTGACAGTGGTGGGGAAGGTTGGGATTTGGAAGTTGAAGGAGAAGGTGTGAGTAGTGGAACGAGTTAGAGAGAAAGGCAGTAGGATTACTGGCCAGTGCTGAAGGCCTGTGTGTAGTTGGTAGGCACATCTGTTCTTACTTTCGTCATAATTATTTTCATTTGTTTTGTTGACACATGGCCTCCTCTGGTTTAGCAAGAGATATATACCGAATGCTTTTTCTTTAGATAGGTGTTATTTTTCCAGGGAAGTCTTTCTAAGTCACTTTTTTTTAATAAAAGCTCTATGAGTTCCAGGATAGGTTTGAACCTGCCAGAAGCAAGGTTGGAGAGGTAGGACAGTTTTGTTGTAGTCAAAACTTCTTTTTCTTTCTTTTTTTTTTTTGGAGAGGTTTTCACTGTAGGGCGCGTGCGCTCGCCAGACAGAGAGAGAGACATAGAGACAGAAAGTGAGAAATCACCCCCCAGAGGGGATGGTCACGCCGCAATCCCTTCTCCTCCATTCTCTTCTCGGGATCTTGGGCACGCACGCACACGCGCCCGGCGTGAGTTTTAAGCCACCAGGTCTGGGACTCGAACCGCGGTTGACTACGTGGGAGTCCAGCGACATAGCCATTACGCTAACTGCTGGTTCCCAACCAAAACTTATTTTTCAAAAGTGCTTTTTTTCCATTGCCAGGAGGGAAACATATAACATATATGTGTATTTTATAATATATTTTTAAAATTTGCTTCAGGGCACATGCGCTTGTAAGAGAGACAGAGAGAGGAGAGAGAGAAAGCACTCTTAAAGGGAACAGTCACTCCACAACCCCTTCCCCTCCATTTCTCCCTCCATTTAAGATTTTGGGCATACATGTTCATGTGCCCGATGTGTTTTTCAAGCTGCCAGGTCCAGAACTCAAACCATGCAGTTGGCCATGTGGGTTCCAGCTTCATCAACCACCAAGCCATGGACTGGCTCTGTGAAACATATTTATTTTTATTTGTTTTTTAATTTATTAATTGCCAGAGGGCATGCATATTCTTTAGAGTGAGACACAGAGAGGGAAAAAGCATCCCCAATGGGATGTAGTCCTACCACAATCCCTTCTCCTTTTCTCTGTTCTGTAATATTTTTCAAGCCACTAGAGTCTGGATTCGAACTGTGGTCGGCCATGTGGGATCTGTTTTCCTTAACCGTTAGGCTCTAGGGCTGGCCCTCATTAGGGAAATAGTAAATGGGAGAATGAAACTCTCAAGATCTTCCAGATAGGCGTAAGTTGTGGCTTTATTACCTTTCCCCCAAATTCCTAGGGCCCTGAATACTCAATGGGAAAGTATGCCCTTTCCGTAGACAAATACGTTTCTTTTGTATACTTAACGTTTCTCTTGCCTTTTTTTCCTACAGTTAGTAGATTTGTTGGTAATATTGACAGTAACTCTGGAGTTTCTCAGACTCCCTTCTGTTCCTCCTCCTCTTGGTGGCAGTAAAGGTGAGGTTGGAAGCATGGGGTGTTGTTCTTTAGTCCCAGGATCCACCCCCCATAATGGAGTTGGCTGTGGCCGTCCTGAAGGACCTGCTCCGTTATGCAGCCCAGCTTCCGGTGCTGTTCCGGGACATCTCCATAAACCATCTCCCTGGGCTTCTCACTTCCCTGTTGGGCCTCAGACCAGAGGTGAGACACCTCCCCAGTCACCCTGCCCCACAGCCCCTTTGAGTGCTTGTCTTCCCTCACAACGTGTGGATTTAAAAATGTGATGGGAAGTGATTGGGGAACAAGATTGAAGAAGTGGAAAGAGGAGGGGGTCAAGGAGAAGTGACTGTATGGAGACGGGACTGTCCTGGGTGGTGGGGTGAGATGGGGGTCTGTAGGGGTCTTGGGCACTTGGCTTTTTCCTCCTTCCTTACTTTCTGTTTTTCCCACAGTGTGAACAGTCAGCATTGGAGGGAATGAAGGCTTGCATGACCTATTTTCCTCGGGCTTGTGGTTCTCTCAAAGTAAGTATTCATGGAAATTTCGCTCTCCACCAACATAAGCCTTGATAGCTGTCTGACCTCAGATTCACTCTGAGATTCTAAGCATCTGTCTTCCGATTTCTAAGATCTATCTATATTTAAAGTCACTACAACTCTAATTACACCACCTTGTAGCACTTATCTCATTTAGTCTTCACAGATAAAGAAATTAGAATTAAGTAATTTTCCTAAGATTGGCAAGGATAAGAACTTGATATCTGATGCTAAAGCCCAGACTCTTAATTGTAGATTCCTTCTTTCTGCCCTGCCTTTTCTGTATCTTTAAAATGCCTGCCCATCTTTCTACCATCTTTGCTTACTTTGCTCCTGATTTGCTCAAGGAATCCTTCCTGACGTTATCACTTCCCTACAGCAGCTGCCCCCAAACTTCTTTCTCCTTACATTCTTGACTAAACTCCCTCTGTTGCTTCCTTGCTCTTGCCCAGGTTGTCCTGATCCACACAAGTTGACTGTGCAGCAGTCTTCCTAGGTTAGACAGGCAGGGTTCATGAGGGTTGGGTGAGGGAGCAGGTCAGTAAAGAATAGCAGTTTTGGGGCCAGCAGGTGGCATGGTGAAGGGCACTGGACTCCCACTTGGCCAACTGTGGTTTAAGTCCCAGACCTGGTGGATGGCTCTTTCAACTCTGTCCTTCTCTGGTCACATTAAAATAAATACAAGTTAAAAAGATACAATAATCTTTTTTTTTTTTTTTTTAAAGAATAGTTTTATTTTTCTAGGAGATACAATAACATATAAATGGCTTACAAGTTCTACAAAAGCAGTAGGTTAAAGGGCCATTTGCAATTGGCATATTTGTGTCTGCAGTGTGATTGGCTGCTGGCTTTATCTACAAACAAGTAGTTGTTCTCCTGTACATGACATATTCTCCCTTGTTTTGTTTGCTCATATCAGCCTGGCAAACCATTGGGCACCCCCTTATTTGATGGAAGCACAGATCTATAGAGCCCTGGAATTTATAGCAAATTAATTTTTTTGTATAACTGACATGGTTAACTATGTTGGCCATCAATATTATCAGTTAAGGAGATTTGCCATTGCTGTTGTCTTGAAATTAAGAAGACATGGTTCTGTGACCAAACAAAGAGAATACGCTTGTGAAAGGAAAGGGAACTGGGGTGCCCACTTTGTGCCAGGCACACTGCTGATGCCAAGTTGTCTCATTTTATCGTTGTGATCTGTCTGCGGCATTCATATTTTCACATTTTACAGAGGAGAAAACCAGCTCAGAGAGACTCAGGTGACCCAGCCCAAGGTTATATTTGGTAGTTGGAAAGCTTCAGCACACAGATTCTAGCACTAATCATGACTCTGATAAATGTTTCGTGGCTCTGTAGATCACTGGCTTGAAAGATATGGAGCTCCTTGGCCACTTGTGCTGTGATCAGGTGCTAGGTACCTTTCGTGGTACCTAGTAACTGGTTACTGGTAGTATCTGAAAAGTTCTCAGCAGGTGGCACTTCTCAGTGAGCATGGCTTCATGTCCTTGTTGGTTCTTTATTTTCATATGAATGCCACTAATCAGAGCTGATAGAATCTTGAGGTTGGTAGAATAGGACTTTGTCAAGAAGATATTTAGAGGAAAAAAACAATGGGACCAGCAGTTAGCGTAATGGTTATGTTGCTGGACTCCCATGTCGTTGACTGCAGTTCGAGTCCCAGACCCGGTGGCTTAAACTCATGCCGGGCGCATGTGCATGCATGCCCAAGATCCCAAGAGGAGAATAGAGGAGAAGGGATTGCAGTGTGGCCATCTCCCCGGGAGTGATTTTTCTCTTTCTGGCAAGCACACGCACTCTATAGCAAAAAGCAAGCCCCCGCCCTCTAAAACAAAAAAAAAAAAAAAAAGAAAGGTATTTAGAATAATACATGAGTTTTACTAAATGTTGGTTAAGTTTTGTTTTGTTTTTAAGTTTTACTAAACTGAGGCCAGCAGGTGGCATGGTGGTTAAGGCATTGGAATTCCCACATAGCTGACTGCAGTTTGAGTCCTGGACCTGGTAGCTTGCTTGCACGCGCTCTCTCTCTCTCTCTCTCTCTCTGTCTCTGTCTTTCTCTGGCAGAAACTCGTGAAAAAATAAACAAATAAAAAGTAGGAAAATCTTTTTTAAAAAAAGTTTTACTAAACTTAATAAAAACTGCCTATCTTGCAAAATGTTTTGTAGGTTTACTTCTCAAGAAATACAGACTAGCGGTTTGTCCCTGGTCAAGAGTTAGTGAGGTTTTACTGCAAATGTCTATTTTGATTTAATTCTATTAGGTATTACCTGTATATACCTTCGTCCGCATCTGCCCCCCATGAAAGTAGAGGGTAAATAGAATATTGCCTGCAGAATAGGTATTTAAGTCATCATGGAGGTTATAAGGCCAGGTGTTCGCATGGCTGTTGCTCTGTAATTTTCAGTGTGAGTGGTCAGGGGACTTCATCTGTACTTTATAGCCTTTTGTCAGACAGTGCAGTTTTTGAAGTTACAGCCTGAGTTTTGAGTATCTTTTTCAAATCAAACAACAAGGCATTCATACCTTGTTTCAGGGCATGCCTTTATTTTTCTAATAATAAAGTATCATCTGGAGAACTTTCCTTTTAAGGATTTTGGCTTTGTCTGTTGCCAACACTTTAGATAATAACTGTTTTGTGCAAAGGCCAACACCCCGATAACCCACTTTGTGCAAAGGCTGCACCTCCGATAAGAGCCTATTTGCGCAAAGGCCAGCACCTTGATAAGAACCTGTTTGTGCAAAAGCCAGCCTTACAGATAATCTGTTTTGTGCTAGGCCCCAGGGGAAGTTTGTACTTGGGAAATCTTCAGACCAGTACTTAGGAAATCAATAACTGCTGTTCTGCAGTGTTTTTTCTCTGGCCCATTCCCCAAATGCTGCCAGGGCAGTTGTAGGGTTAATTCTCCCAAATGGTGTCTCTCAAGCATTCTAAGTCCAGTAATTCCCTGAACTGACTTTACCTTCCTTCCTTCTTCTTGCCAAATCGAGTGGTATTTCCTTGGATAGTGGGAAGACGCAGCCCTGAGAGAGACTCAAGATGTGCTGTGTATATATGCGTGCACACACGCATGTTTTGAGCAAAGTGTTCTAAGTGAGCCATTACTTTGGCTTGCTTTGTGGGTCAGCCAGCAGACCTTGTGGTCCACTTCACCCCACTGTGCTCTGCTTTGCTGCAGTCACAAAAGCAGATTTCTGTCACCCTCAGGCCAGCCTTTGGAACCAGAGTCTCAGGGAATACACGAGCAGCAGGTTGGCTGGAAGGGCTGAGTGCCACTGCAGTTGTGGCTGGGGCAGCTCTCTAAGAACTGTCATCTTCAGAGAAGCTAGTGAATCAGAAGACCTTGGGTAGTTACTCTTCTTTGGCTTGAAGTGTTCTGAAACCCTGCCATATCAGATATGCAAGTACTCCCTGAGTCCTAAGAAAAATGGTTCTGTAATAGAGCCTCTCCTACCCACTGTCAGCTCTAGCAGCACTTGTCTCAGGGTCAGTAGAATCCTGAAGTGTGATATGGGAGCTGAAAGTGGTTCCCGCTCCAGGGAGCAGAGGAGGGAGTCCTTGAAGGGTTGGTTTCTGAACCACACATGGACAGAGGCTTCTGCTCCTGTGTCCTTCCCTAAGCTCCTGTAATGTGCCTGGCACAATGGCAAATTGTTTCCCAGAAGTTCACCTTTGTGCATGTGATACCCCCGCCCCTTGGATAAAGTTAATACTCCGTAGGCTGGGATTTAAGGTCTCAGTGTGCTTCTCCATTGGCATCTTCTGATTCTGTACCTTTCCTGTTTCTTCCTTGCTGGCCGGATCTGGATTCTACCCTTTCTCTAGGCCCAGCCTGGTCCCACTCTCCCTAGCCTTAGCATCGTTCCCTCTTGGCCCACTCTCTGTCCTCTTTGTAAATGCCAGTGTGGGTTCTAGGTCGTGGTTTTTCATATGCTTATCCTGTCTCCCTGACTAATCCTTGTATCCCTCTGAAGGTGGAAATTGTCTCCTTTCTTCTTATATCTTCTTTTGTGTGATGGACTTCTCAGAATAATGTTTTTAATTCATTTAAGAAAATAAAAAGGGGGAAAAAAAAATAAAAAGGTGGACCAGCGGGTGGCATGGTGGTTAGGACACTGGACATTCCCAAATGGCTGACCATGGTTTGAGTCCCAGACCTGGTGGCTTGCTTTCTCACTTTCTCTCTCTCTCTTTCTCTTTCTCTGGTCAATTTTTTTTTTAAGAAGAAAATAAATATAATTGAATAAATAAATAAATAAGTATAAATAAAAAGGATCTGGGGGCAGCAGGTAATGTGGGGTTTAAGGTGCTAACTCCCACATGGCTGACCATGGTCCAAGTTCTGGACCTTATGACCTGTAAATCATGCCAGTTGCATGTGTGTGCGTGCCCAAAATCCCAGAGGAGAATGGAGGAGAAGGGATTGCACGTAGCCATCCCCCTTGGAGGATGATTTCTCACTGTTCCTCCCATTGTTTCTCTCTGCTGAGTGCATGCACCCTATGAGAAACAGAAATAAAAAAGAGAAAAAAGAAATGGGTCAGCAGATGGTGTGGTGGTTGAGGCACTGGACTTCCACATGCCCAACCGTAGTTTAAGTCCGGGACCTGGTGGCTTACTTTCTGTCTCTGGTGAACATGTGTGCCCTGTAGCAAATAATAATAATAATGATAAATAAAATCAAATATCTAATTATAAAAAGAACAGGGTCAATTTGGTGGCACAGTAATGACAAGCACTTTGCTCAAGCAAAGTGGACCCATATGGAAGATCCTGGGTGTGGTTCCTTATTCGACCTGTACATGCCAGGTAATCACAAGCCCCTGTGATCCCAGCTGGGTAAGAGTGGCTGGAGATGGATCATGGTGTGAGACTCCGTTGAGGGTGGTTGTCTTTTGCTTTCTCGCTCTCTATTTGGTTAATTTTAAGGTTTTTGCCATAGGACGTGTGCACTTGCTGGAGAGACAGAGAGAGAGTGAGAAATTACTCCCCCAGGGAGGATGGCCACCCACAGTCCCTTCCCCATTCTCTTCTTGTGTTTTTGTGCATGCACGTACACACTCTCTCTGTCTCTCACTTTTATGAAAGAAAGAAACTTAAAAAAATAAATATAATTTTGTGTGTGCATGCCCACAATCCTGGGAGGATAATGGAGGAGAAGGGATTGCAGTGTAGCCATTCCCCCTGGGGGTGATTTCTCAGTTTCCCTCTATCTGTCTCTCTCCAGTGAATGCATGAACCCTATGGCAAAAACCTAAAACAACAGCAGCCACAATAAACTAATTACAGGGAAACTGAATCCATTGAAATGTAGTGTCAAAGTAGTTTTAAAAATTGTAACAAAGTAGTATGTGTTTTCTTGGTTAAGATAGTAAGTAGTAGGATCTTTAAGGTGAAATGGCCCCTCTTAGTAATTAGAGTGACACAGATGAAAATAAAGGCTTATTACTTACTGGTTCTGGAGGTTACACAGTGTGTCCAGAGACCGCATTTATAGGTTGAGGAGTGCGTGGGGGACAGACGGGCTTGTGGGCCAAGACCTTCATTGAGGTCCAGGGCATTGTCCATGCAGGTTTCCCTGGGGTGTCCTTCTTGGTGCCTTAAAGCAAACAGGCATGAGTTCTAGGACACACAGTGACTCAGGTGGTCACTGTGGCATGTCCACACAGCCCATTGCGGGTGTGGGTTCAACGGGGCCAGCTCAGCACGCCGCATCTGGCCGCCCCTAGGAATGTGGTCACTAGGAGGGAGTCGTATACGGCCGATATCGGATCGGCCTCACTGGCCAGGTAGGGGTGGTTAGAACTGGAAACTGTCAGGGGTGACTGAGCTCTGCTTCTGGTGTGAAAAAGTTCCACTTATATTCAAAATGAGTGCCAAGGCTACATTCAACTATGAAATTCATTACAGGTCGACCATAATTTCAAATTAAAGATAATGTGAATGATACTTCTTTTTAAAATTTTTAAGAGAGGTTTTTGCTATAGAGTGCATACACTCACCAGAAAGACAGAGAGAGACAGAGACAGAAAGCGAGAAATCACCCCCCCCGGGGGGGGGGATGGCCACACCACAATCCCTTCTCCTCCATTCTCCTCTCGGGATCTTGGGCACACACGCATACGTGCCTGGCATGAGTTTAAGCCACCGGGTCCAGGACTCGAACCGTTTTCGACTACATAGGAGTCCAGTGACATAGCCACTACGCCAACTGCTGGTTCCCTATGTGAATGATATTTCAAGGTCTGTTTCAGCTATAACGTGCAGTGAAACGTGATAACAGTCATGGGTACTGCCGATACTGCTGGCTGGCTGCCTGCCTTTGTGATTGAGAGAGGAACGCATTTCCTAGAAAGGTTATAGGTTAGTGAAAACAGTGATGTAACTTTCCTCCATCCTTGTTCACAGGCCCCTTTTATTCTACCCTCACATAAGCGGTGGCCCTCAGGTTAAACACTCCTGCTGCTATGCTCTCACAGGAGCAGGCTGAGGAAGGGCTTGCTGACTGCAGGTTGCTACTCTGGCAGCTGCTGCAGTACCTTAGTATGACTCCACCAGCCGGCCCTTCTCGTTGGACCTTGTCCTGTGCCTCCGCTCCCTGCTTGGACCCTCATTTCTCTGGTTAAGCTGGTAGAGAGTTGGGATTGTTGTTTCTCAGTATTCTGTGTCCTTTTTTGAGGGAGATAACTGTTATTTTACAAAAACTGGTGGAAAGGAGCCGCCTTGTCTGTGTGGCAGGGGCCAGGTCCTTTCCCCTCTAAACAGGAGGCTAGGACAGAGCCGACATTCAGGATGTCTCTCCACTCTGAAAACATGTCTCGTACCAGGCGTTCGTGCCAGAGTGCTGTGCTTCTGTGTCTGTAGGTAAAGGAGAGACTTGGGCTTAGAATGTGCTGTTGCGAGTGGACAGGGTACACATCTCTGGCTTTTGGAGCTGTCTCATGAGCTTCTTTGTGTTTTGCCTCCCTCATCCAGGGCAAGCTGGCCTCATTTTTCCTGTCTCGGGTGGATGCCTTGAGTCCTCAGCTCCAGCAGGTAAAGGGAAGGCAGTAGAGAGCACGGAGCGCCTCTGACCACTCATTCCTTTCTCTGTGTTGCTGCTTTTGCTCATGTTCCTTTCTTGCTTGCATACG